TAGGAGCTGGGCCTCACTGAAGATTTAATTTGATTACATTCCTCTTTACATGTGAAATTCAAACAAATCATGGTAGCACAATACATATTTGACAGCTTAAACAGAGATTAGAAGCATTTTACCTGCTTGCAAGGAATTTTATCTAATGCTTCAACAAGTTTAGGTCTAAAGATTCGGCAGCTTGTATCTCTGTGCCCGCAGCAAAATGATGCATTATCTCCACATGTGAAAACCTATAGATGGAGACAAGCAATATGATTACCCAAGACCGTAATTGAGAGTGACATACATGAAACCATGAACTACAGAGTGACAAAAATAACTATTGCAAAAAGATCTAGTCAACAACGATCTGCAAACACCTGTTACTTTCATCTACTAGTAGGGCATCAATCTATACTCTATGAAGTGGGAATTAGAATCATAAAAAATTAAGTCCACAGATTCAAGCAAAGTTTGGAGATTCAATACAGCTGTCTGAAGTTCATTATGATTTATAAGATGAGAAAAGTAGAATTTGGAAAACAAGAGTCATCAAAATCAGCGGCAATTTCCAACATGGTACTTCAAATAATTAAAACAAGAGCTGAATTGGGGATTAACTAAGCAATAAGACTATCAAACTTCTATAATACAAGAAATCATAAACATCAACTTTTCTTATATTCACTGACCAAATTAAGGATATGGTCTACTTGGGATTAGTAAGATATTAAAAGAAACATCCACATATGAATAGGAAAAAAAGACTCCGAAGTACAAAATCTGTACCAAGCAGAAGTGAAAACAGTATATAGCAAATCAAACATAGTAAAGATTATAATATAGATAAAATCCAACATAAGATTCAATTGTTGACCTGTCCTGACCGTGTGACAAAAGCAGCATGATTGTGAGAAGCAGAAACTTGCTCGACGTATATAGAAGGTGGAAAGTTAATTCGGGTAAATGTTACACATTGTGTGGTCACAAAGCCATGACCAAGAACACCACATAAGCTGGAACCACAAGAATATACTGATGCATTGCTGATCAGTAATGTATGATATCTTCCAGTTGCAATCTGCATCTGATATAAGATAAATAGGAAATAACTTAAAATTCTCTTGGAATAATCATAGGTATCAAAAAGAATCCACAAAAAATATAATCTATGAAATCAATATCATTGATACGACAATTCTAACATTTTAATTAAATCAGGAAGCAAACCTCTGCAGTATTTTATGGTTTACGATCTTGATTGAAAAGCATCAATGTAGCCACAATGAGAACTCGTATATGTGAAAATATTGATGACGAAAGAATGATTAAAGAAGGTTGACTCGAGAGACAAACAATCAACTACGCAGTCACGTCATTTCTCAAATATGTACTGATTCAATTTCAAAGCCTAAAAAATATCTGGATATTGAGAAAAAAATTGTCCAGAATAACTGATCCGGAAGACAGTAAATGATTCCTTCATGTAAATATGCAAAATTCAAGAAAACTCATGAAACTAAAAGAAAAGCAATATAGTTATAGGAGAAAATATACATTGCCTTCTGAGGTCTCAACAATGTTGGAAGATTTCTCCACCAATTGCAAGAACCTTAGAATCCGTTTCCACTTCCCTTGACAGCGGTCAAAGAGTTGTTTTTGGGATTCCCCTCCCATTCCGGAATAAATGCTGTGTGAAATACATAATTGAAATGCCGCAAAATCAACTAATGACCGAAACTTGAGAGGGTACAGCTCATGGCTCCCTCCAAACATCTTGCAAGTCAACTCCAAGCAAACAAGATCACGAGCATTAAGCCTACCAGACGTTAGAACTTCTAAGATCAAATGCGAAGGCAAATCCGCAAATGAAGTTGAATGAAGCCATTTGGCCATATTTTCAGTCAAATTTATGATTTTCTGAGCTTGAATGAAATCTCAAATAAAAATCACCCTGACACACAGTTAAAACTGATTCCCAGCTAATTATAGAGACGCTGAAGGATGTCCAATTACGGCCAACGTGAGGGTTGTCAAATTTTTAGGCGAAATCTCAAGCAATTAAAGCAACATATAAAGAACGCATCAGAAGGGAGGAAAATATGGGAAATTGAGTATGAAAAGGGCGTTCTTGAAAAGAATTTCAGCCGTAATGAGTACAGTGGTTGGAAACAAATCATCAGATGGAACGAATGACACCCCAACAAGTTATCCCAAATTTGAAGAAATGCAATTTCTCCTCCTGCAAAAATCAACAAAGCCAGTTGAATCAATTAGAAGGCAGTACATTACCTCAAAGTTAATGACAAAATATCATGTCAATAGCGCTAAAAATTTTCAAGTTAACCTAATAGTCAAAGACAGTTCATGCTTAAAGTTGGTCGAGATGAGTATAATTAATTGGCTCAGACAACCAGTGTTACTGACAAAAAGAAAAGGGACGAATTTGAAAATGAATAACGATGTTGATGAGAGAAGAGGCTTCATGATTACAATTTCTGGAACGCGACCAAGCATGCAACAAATTGAGGATTAATACAGGAATCAGAGGCGGGAGTGATTATTACAAGGCTTTTCAGTGACAATGAAAAGGGGATAAGAGGGAATGTTTATAAGAGACAACTTTGGATTCTTGTCGACAGAAAGAGGGAGAGAGCCGGCGAGAGTGATGATTATAAAGCTTTTTTAAGTGCTGGTCTCTCCCTTTTCTGCAGAAAAGTTAAGATTCAATTGCTTCAATGATAAATGGAAAGGCAACGAGAAGGGAAGTGTATTGGCGACGAGATTGAACTCAGAACTTTCCTTAAAGCTCTTTCTCTGTCTAAATAACACACTCTGTTTCTTCATTTCAAGTGGATGGAATTTCAAAACACAAATGAATGGATTTAGACGATGTGTCTGATAAAATAAAGAGCAATTCGCAAATTCTTTTATGTCACTGAAGTCCAAGCACCACTTATCATAATTTTGGAGTTGGAACTAACATCCGTGTCTTTGTTAGTCTCAACTTTCACACGAATCACCATTGGAAAGCTCTTCGTTCCCTAAAAGAAGCTCGTGCTTACATTAAAACTGCTAAAAACGCGTCAAATTCAGCTATCAGCACACCCATACGTCAAATTGAAAACCCACTAAGAACGGTGAATCATGATTCCTGAAAGAAACCTAAATTTCCCTTCCATCCACACATTTGAACAAGAAGAAATGTTTCGACCACAGAATTGTTGATTATAAGAGAGAATTTGGGCCTTCTCCGACAAATAAACAACCAGAATCCACCCAGATTTTCGGTCAAATATCATCCAACATTCCAAACAAAACCTTCCGATTTTTGGCCAGACATTAAGGATTAAAATCGATTTCGTAACAATTCAGATCTTGTTTTCCGCAAACAACATCAAGTAGATACACACACTAAACAACAATTAGAAGGAAGAACACTATCTGCTGACTGAGTATATACAGAATCAATTAGAAAAAGCAAAAAGAAATTGGGGAAGAAAAACCTGGGGATTGAGAATCTCGCGCTCCGACTTTTAGAAGAAAGTGCAAAAATCTCCTCGATTTCTGGAGAGAATAGGAAGTGCCTTGCCTCCCATATGCACATAAACAGAAAGCTTCAATTTTGAGACAGAATCTACTCCCGAGTTTCTCTTTTCCACTTCCCAATATTAATAGTATTTATTTATATATATATATATATTTTATTTTACTTTTTCTAAATTTCTAAATATTATTTTTTAAATTTTATAAAAATCATTTTATAGACCTAATGATGTAAATAGTTTAGTATTTAAATTAGTTAGGTCCATTAGTTAAAATAATTATTTAGTATAACTTGGTAAATAAGAAATCTATTATTTTTTTTCATATTTTTTAATTTAAAAAAGAAAAAAAATGTCAAATATAATGACAACGACAATATTAAAAATTTATGAATTAAAAAATTAAATCGTATTGTATATTTAATGCATTAATTTCAAGGTCTTTATTGACTTTTTGAATCAATAAAAATACTTTTAGCATTATTATTCATTAATTTAAGAATTAAAAAAGAATAAAAAAAGATGGGTTTTTCAAACGACAAAGAAATTTGGGCGTCAATGTTCTTAATCTCGACGTTTTGCTAGGTATGGAAGTTTGTGGAATCCAAATTCATCACCCGATGACTTCAGTATTTTCCTCAATTCGACTTGAAAACATGTTTTATTATAAAGTTCATATGATTGAGCCACTGAGAAAAAAGGTACACCTGGTTAGTATAGATTGTAACTTTCATTTTCTTTAAGGCTTTCTTAGTCATCCTTATCCTTAGAACTACTCTCGTTCGAATAGTTCTCTTATTTACTTACATGTTACATTGTGCATCAAAAAGTATGACATGAAGGCATTATCTACTTTAGAGCGTTGAAACGCTACAATTTAAAGAATTTTCACAAGAATTGTTTGTGATGTCACAACCTTGTATAGTGTTGAGATGGTGTCTGTAGTGTCTCAATGCTCTTGCATGTAGCATCTTAACCTTGCTTATATCATCTCAACGTTGCCGCCCAATCTCCTCTAAAAGGAATGGTCTATTGGTGCTCGGATAATTTTGGAAAGAAAAAATAAAAGTTCAAAATTTTAACGAAGTAAATAGATCATTCATTAGATCTCATATCGAATGGAGAGGAGAACAAAACATTATTTAATGTGTAAACCTCTTCTTAGTATATGTGTTTTAAAATCGTGAGGTTGACAACGATACGTAACAGGCCAAAATGGACAATATTTATTAGCGATGAGTTTGAGCTGTTACACTATTATTACAAAATGTTATGAGCATTGGGATACGAACTACATGACTAAGCCCAAAGACTTCTCACACCACTTTTATGGTCACAATCGTATTGGCCAAGTGCAGACGATACCAAGTCACCCCATTAATTATAACAAATTTCATGCTAGAGATGGTGGGGTGGATGGTACCTTGACCTAAACACACGTGAGTGCACTTTCGAAGAGCTTTGACTCTTCTGAGGTATCGCGTTCACATACTATTGTCGCACCAAAAGATCGCAACAGGGGCACATACATATGTCTAGTTCGTTACGTGTCGCATGAAGAGCGCAGAAAAACATGTAAACCAAAGCGAATCATAACCCCATTGATGAGATTTCTCCTGGCTTGATTGTGCGTTTTCTTGCATTTTTGTCATCTGGGTCTTTCGTTTTGGTTCATTTTGTTCATAAATTTCACTGGGTTTATTGTTTATGATGATGCCACATTTTCTTTGTCAACCCCAAGAAGTTTGTGCACATGGGGTTTTCATTTGTCTATTACTAATAGTCCTTAGCCCGAGGCTTTTCCCAAATTCTTTTGGCTGTTGATTTATATATATCGTTTCCTTTAGGTTAGTCTTTAAGATTTGTTGGAAATGGCTGAAAATGGCTCCCCTGAGGGGAGATCTCTGGCTCTGACGCCTACTTGGTCTGTTGCTTCTGTGTTGATAATATTCGTTGCGGTTTCATTGCTTGTCGAGCGCTCCATTCATAGGCTAAGCTCTGTAAGTATATTTCTGGGCCACTGCTTGTTATGCTTTAAACAAATAATGTGGCCTTGTTAACTAGGAAAGAATAGTATACTTTTGAAACTTTACACGTCTGCTTAAGCTTCTATGGAGCTTTTGTGTAACATCCAAACCCAGTAGATATTGTCCTCTTTCGGCTTTTGCTTTCGGGCTTCCCCTCAAGGTTTGTAGAACGCGTCTGTTAGGGAGAGGTTTCCACACCCTTATAAGGGGTGTTTCGTTCTCCTCTCCAACCGACGTGGGATCTTACAATCCACCCCCCTTCGGGACCCAGCGTTCTCGCTGGCACTCGTTCCCTTCTTCAATCGATGTGAGACCCTCCAATCCACTCCTTTGGGGCCTAGCGTCCTTACTGACACACTACCTCGTGTCCACCCCTTTGAAGCTCAGTCTTTTCATTGACACATTGCCCGGTTTATGGCTTTGATACCATTTGTAACCGCCCAAACCCACCGCAAGTTGATATTGTCCTCTTTGGGCTTTCCCTTTCGAGCTTCCCTTCAAGGTTTTTAAAACGAGTCTGTTAGGGAGAGATTTCCAGACTCTTATAAAAGGTATTTCGTTCTCCTCCCCAACCGATGTGGGATCTTACAATCCACCCCCATTCGAGGCCCAGCGTCCTTACTGGCACACTGCCTCGTGTCCACCTCCTTTGGGGCTTAGCCTTCTCGCTGACACATCGCTTGGTTTGTGGTTCTGATATTATTTGTAACAGCTCAAGTCCACCGCTAGCAGATATTGTCCTTTATAGACTTTCCCCTTCGAGCTTCCCTTCAATATTTTTAAAATGCGTCCGCTAGGAGAGGTTTCCACACCCTTATAATAAAGGGTGTTTCGTTCTCCTCCGCAACCAACGTGGGATCTTAGATGTTTTAGAGGTTGATTCCCATGCAAATTCATGTACAATATCTATATGAACTATGTCTGGAAATCTGGCTAAGAAGTTCTTTAGAGCTTCTAACATTATTTCCCTGATACATTGTGTTTCAGCTACTGCAGATTTTGTTCTAATCATGATATGTGTTTGTTACTTTTTCTCTTTCAGTGGCTGGAAAAATCTCATAGAAAACCCTTATTTGAGGCATTGGAGAAAATGAAAGAAGGTAACTTATTCGCTCAATCACCTCAGACAAGAATGACCTTTTCTGGTCGCTGGTTCTTATTTAACCGCCATTTTTTGCCTTTGCAGAGTTAATGCTACTTGGGTTTATTTCTTTGCTTCTGACGGCATCATCAAGTGTGATAACAAATATCTGCATTCCATCCAAGTTTTATGATACCTCTTTTACTCCATGCAGCCAGTCACAGATTGATGAACATCATGAGGACACTTCATCTGAGCAGAGAAAGCTATATATGGTTTATTCTTTCCCACATTTGTATAGGAGGATGCTTACTGTGAATAAAAATACATGCAAAGAGGCACGTTATGATTATTAACTTTTTTTTGTTCATAAGAACTCTGTCTTCTTCCATCCCTAATAGTCAACTGAAACTTGATACTTTCCTTGCTGGCAGGGTCATGAGCCCTTTGTTTCATATGAAGGACTTGAACAATTGCACCGCTTTATCTTTGTCATGGCGGTGACTCATGTATCTTATAGTTGCTTAACCATGTTACTGGCAATTGTGAAGGTTAGATATTTTTTTCATAGTCGGTGAGATCCCACGTCGCTTGGAGAGGGGAATGAAACATTCCTTATAAGGGTGTGGAAATCTTTCTCTAACAGACGCGTTTTAAAATCGTGAGGCTGATGGCGATACGTAACGAGCCAAAGCGGACAATATCTGCTAGTGGTGGTCTTGAGCTACTACAAATGGTATTAGAGCCAAGTACTGGGCGGTGTGCTAGTGAGGACGTTGGCCCCTAAGGGAAGTGGACTGTGAGATCCCACATCAGTTGGAGAGGGGAACGAAGCATTTCTTATAAGGGTGTGAAAACCTCTCCTTAACAGACATGTTTTAAAACCATGAAGTTGATGGCAATATGCAACGGGCCAAAGCGGACAATATCTACTAGAGGTGGCCTTGGGCTGTTACAAATAGTATCAGAGCCAGGCACCGAGCAGTGTGCCAATGAGGACTCTAGACCCCTAAGGGGAGTGGATTGTGAGATCCCACATTAGTTGGAGAGGGGAACAAAACATTCCTTATAAGGGTGTGGAAACCTTTCCCTAGCAGACGCGTTTTAAAACCGTGAGGCTGACGACGATATGTAACAGGCCAAAGTATACAATATCTGCTAGCGATGGCCTTTGGCTGTTACAAATGGTATCAGAGCCAAGCACCGGGCAGTGTGCCAGCGAGGACGCCGGTCGGTTGGAGAGGGGAACAAAACATTCCTTATAAGAGTGTAGAAACCTCTCCCTAACATACACGTTTTGCATTTGGGTTTGATGCTAAAGAACAACCGTTTCTATTAAACTTTGATAAAGTAGCTTAATAGAAGTTTGCCTGATATTGTACATAATGTAAAAATATTTAAAGATCATTATGACTTCTATAATCGTAAAGCATTTTGCTTTAGAAATTCATAGAAGATACAAAGAAAAGATTACTATTTATCCTCGTGGTTGACATTTTATAATTTGACCAGATCCACAGTTGGAGAGTCTGGGAAAATGATGCTCACATGGACCGTCACGATGCATTCAGTGGTGAGGTCTATGATAATGTTGTGTGTGATTCCTCATATTTTCTCTTAGCCACTTAAAGGATTCACAAGCAATTATTTCTCTAATATTATTGTAGATACGACGAAAGAAAAGATAATGCAGAGACAATCTCACTTAGTGCAATATCTCTCCTCCAATCCCTTAACCAGGAGCAATTTCCTTATCTGGATGGTAAGCCTTGATCTTCTTTTCATTTAGACAATGCCCCATGACTGCATCTATTCATAGACCCACCACCATTTTGGATTCACCTATTCTGACTTCAATGGTGTATATATGCATGAGCTACTATAGTGAAAATATTGGTGTTTTCGGATCAAGTTTATGCTTTAAAACGCATCTATTAGGGAGAGGTTTCCACACCCTTATAAAGAATGTTTCGTTCTCCTCCCCAACCGATGTGGGATCTCACAATAGCCCAAAAGGGACTATATTTGTTAGTGGTGGGTTTTGACTGTTACAAATGGTATTAGAGACAAACACCGGACAATATGCCGGCGAGGAGGTAGAGCTCCGAAGGGGGGTGGATTGTGAGGTCCTACATCAGTTGGGGAGGAGAACGAAACGTTTTTTTATAAGAGCGTGGAAACTTTTCTCTAACAGACACGTTTTAAAAACCTTGAGGGGAAGCCCGAAAAGGAAAGTTCAAAGAAGACAATATCTGCTACCGGTGGGCTTGAGCTGTTATAATGTTTTCGTTAAAAATTAAATACCAATGTCCAATGTGATTTCTAATCTTATTTGGGAAACCCTCTGTGGTTGAAAAAAGAAGAAGCTTTTGCAATAGGAGAAGCATCCCCATCCCATTTTTTCCTTGAACTTGGCCTTCATATACACCTGCTATTCACATACGTATTGACACTAACTCTTCTTTGAAATAATTAAATGATATCTGTAGACATGTTTCTTTCGGCAATTTGGGAGTTCTGTTGTTCCTTCTGACTACCTTACACTTCGCAAAGGCTTCATCACGGTAAAAGCAAATTATTCGTTTGGATTGCTAATTTTCTTTCATGTTTTACCATTTACACTACATTTTAGAGCTGTAGCATTGTCAAAGTTTCAGCTGCTTGTTCACCAATGATAATGAATAATCATCTTTTAGATACCAATATTTATGATTTTCCTGCATCTTATTATTTAATTGCAGAATCACAACCTTTCATCAAGTTATGATTTCCATAGCTATATGGTTCGTTCTATGGAAGAAGAATTCCAGAGAATAGTTGGTGTGAGGTAGTTGAAGTGTCCGTTGCTTTCAATTTTTTGAATCTATATGCATGTATACTGTTTTTTCTAGTCATTGCTATCAAGATAAAAGAGTTCAGGTTCAGCTATTACTCTTTGTAACTATATTATCAGAAGATGGAAATGTTCTCATCCGTTCTTTGTTGGGATTTGCATTTTGTGGGGCTCCTTGAACAAAGTAAAGTAATTTTCTGTTTTGAGTGGAATAGGAAAGCTTTTGAAGGCAAGTTTGAAGGCACCCAGAATGTTGTTCCGATATTTCTCTGTGTAACAGCCCAAGCCCATCGCTAGCAAACATTGTCCACTTTGGGCTTTCCTTTTCGGGCTTCCCCTCAAGGTTTTTTAAAACGCGTTTGCTAGGTTGAGGTTTCCACACCCGTATAATGTTTCGTTCTCCTCTCCAACCGATATGGGATCTCACAATCCACTCCTTTGGGGCCCAATGTCCTCACTGGCCGTCGTTCCTCTCTTCAATCGATGTAGGATCTCACAATCCAACTCCCTTCGAGGCCTAGCGTCCTCGCTAGCACACTGCCTGGTGTCCACCCCCTTTGGGGCTCAGTGTCTTCGCTGGCACACTGTCCAGTGTTTGACTCTGATACCATTTGTAACAGCCCAAGCCCATCGCTAGCATATATTGTCTTCTTTGGGCTTTCTCTTCCGGGCTTCACCTCAAGGTTTTTAAAATGCGTCTGATAGAGAAGTTTCCACACCTTTATAAAGAATGTTCCGTTCTCCTCTCCAACTAATGTGAGATCTCAAAATTCACTCTCCTTCAGTGCCCAGTATCCTTGCTGGCACTCGTTCTCCTCTCCAATCGATGTGGGATCTCACGAAATCAACTTTTAGAATATATTGAAATGAATGTGTTTTCTGCAACAATATATCTTTAGTTTCATTCTCAAATATTACCAAATTTCTTATTTTAGTCTTTTGGGAATTAAGGAAGCTGATTCTCTGTTCACTTTATTGCAGCGGTCCACTATGGGGATTTGTCGTTGCTTTTTTGCTGTTTAATGTGAAAGGTATAATAACCCTTAGGAAAAGAATACTTTTTCTGCCTCAATTCTAATTACCATTTGATCTCCTTTTCCTTCCTTCAGGCTCTAACCTATATTTTTGGATAGCATCTATTCCTTTTACTGTGAGCTCTCTCTCTCTCTCTCTCAAGAGCTGCCGCATCTATCTGGTTGATTGACCAGCTGATCTTTGACTACTTTTCATTTTTCATACAGCTTGTTCTTTTAGTTGGCACAAAATTACAGCATGTTATTGCAACTTTGACGTTGGAAAATGCTGGTATATCCGGATTCTTTTCTGGAGCAAAGCTAAAGCCGCGTGATGATCTTTTCTGGTTTAAGAAGCCTGAATTCCTGTTGTCCTTGATCCATTTTGTTCTTTTCCAGGCATGTCTTGATTATTAACAATGTTGCCTGAATGGATTATGATGTTCTTGGTTTTATCCCCCTTTCTCTTAATTCTCTTGCAGAATGCTTTCGAATTGGCTTCGTTCTTCTGGTTCTGGGTACCTTCCTCTCCTCTAGTCATGGCTTTTTTAATCTCAGAACAAAACAATCCCACTAGTGAAATAGGAAGCATTATATAGTTTCCTTCAAAACTTATTAGCCCATAACTATTATCTTGTTTAATTTGGTTACAGTGGCAATTTGGGTATAATTCTTGCTTCATTAGCAATCATCTGCTTGTCTATGCAAGACTAATCTTGGGGTATGAATCTTTAGTTTCCGACAGCCATAGCCTTGTATATATGACTATGTTAATTGTGTGGCGGGAGATAAATAACCTTAAAATGTTTGGTTTTGTCTTTCTTGTAGGTTTGCTGGACAATTTCTTTGCAGCTATAGCACCTTGCCCCTCTATGCACTGGTAACTCAGGTAATGTAAGGTCTAACAGCCCGGCCCAAGCCCATTGACCGCAGATATTGTCTTCTTTAGGCTTTTCCTTTCGGGATTCTCCTAAAGGTTTTTAGAGCGCGTCTCCTAAGGAGAGGTTCCACACCCATATAAAGAATGTTTTGTTCTCCTTTCAACCGATGTGAGATCTGCTAGCGTCCTCGCAAGCACTCATTCCCTTCTCCAATCGATGTGGGACCTCCCAATCCACCCCCCTTCGAGATCCAGCGTCCTTGCTGGCTCACCACCTTGTGTCCACCTCCTTTGGGGTTCAGCCTCCTCGCTGGCACATCGCCCCGTGTTTGGCTATGATACCATTTGTAACGGCCAAAGCCCACCGCTAACAGATATTATCTCTTTGGGCTTTTCCTTTCGGGCTTCCCCTCAAGGTTTTTAAAACGTGTCTGCTAGGGAGATGTATCCACACTCTTGTAAAGAATGCTTTGTACCCAACGTGGGCTCTCAGATAAGGCATGACATCTTAAATTTTGATAGGCTGTTTAAATCTGTAGATATCCTTGGTTTAAGACATTAAACTTAAACGTATATCCTTGTACAAAGAGAGTTCTCAAGGCTATGAAAATTTATCTGGTTAGTAGTCTATAGGAGGATTAACCTTAATGACGCTATCCAGAGGCTATTGACTGCGATTCATCTTTCTGCTTCATGTTTGTAACTGTAAACTTTTCCTGTGTTCGTTATGCAGATGGGAACAAACTACAAGGCTGCCTTAATTCCTCAAAGAATAAGGGAAACAATCTATGGATGGGGTAAGTCAGCTAGAAGGAAGAGAAGGCTCCGGATATTTGCTGATGATACCACAATCAACACAGAAACATGCACCGTGATTTCACTTGAGGACGACGACAATCATCATATTGATACCCCCAACACTGCCACTGGCTATGCCACAATCGAGATGCAGCCACTTACTGCATTGAATGTGTCTGTCTCTGTTGCTAATGATATATCATATGGGGTTGGAACTGCCCGTCTTCGACCCACTCTGTCTCTTTCCTTACCTGTCGCTCAAAACCTCAATCTCCAAAACCCTTTAAGAAGCTCATCTTTGCCGATACAAAGATAACGTATAGCTAGTAAACAAAGCTATAGAAGTACCATATAAATTAGGATAACAAATACCATGAAAGAAGAAGTGTTCAGAATGTGAGGCTAGAGATTTGTTTATAGGAAACTGAGTTAGTATTCTTAGAAAACAGTACACGAAACTGCTTGCTTTGTAATTTATCTCCCAACAATGCAAGGAAAGTTTAAACTCCAATTATAGAACAGAGTTTCCTGATGTTCTATATTTCATAAGTTTATTAGAAAATGAACTCCATGATGGATGTTTTTTTATTGAGAGCTAGAAGAAAACACTTTCTTTGAGGTAAGGTCTAAGCTCTAAACCAGACCACCATTGGATTTCATGTCCTGATTTGCTCCCCCACTGGATTTTATGTGATGATTTTCTGGCAGGACTGGTGGTTCAGGTTCTTCACCCATTGGAATAGATTCATCTTGGATCTTAGAGTCGTTAACCGTGCCGACTTCAAAGGTACAAGGTGGATGTGGTGCCTGGCATCCTTGGCATCCTCCTTGACATCCTCCTTGACATCCTTGGCACCCTTGAAATCCCGGACATCCCTGCCATGGACACGGCGAATAAGTGTAGCAAGGTTGGCAACCAGAGCTTCCACCACCAGATCCGTAGTTAGGAGGATAAGTATATCCCCCACCACCAGAGCTGCCACAGTTACCACCGCAATCACCATATCCTGAACCAGCAGAACTGAGTTTGGGTACGTTGCCTTCAGGTATACTTTTCAACTCAGCATTATTGAAATCTTGTAATTGATTGTCTTGTTCAGAAGATACATTGTTGCTTAGTAGTTCCTTTTCAGCATCATTGTTCTTGAGGACTCGATTGGCAGAGCTGAGGCTTAAGCAGAGGAATGCCAAGAGACCGACCAAGAAACTATTTTTGGTAACAGCCATTTTCTTTGAACTTTAGCTCTCTTTTGAGGGGAAAGCCGAGTATTCTTCTGTGCTTCTCAAAGTGTAGGGGCTTTTGCTTTTTATAGTGTGGGGAGTTTGTTGAGTTTGGAGGAGCGTAAAAGCAAGAAAAGCATTGGCGTTGGTTTGGCCTAAGAGTCCGGAGGACATCATTGTGTGAGTTCTTTGAGTCTTTGTTGCATAAAACATTAAGCAACAAGATCCTTTCCTAAATGCAAGGGATTCTTAATGTAAATTAGATTTTTTAATTCAGAAAATCATCCAATCACTTGACCCCAAGAACTTGAAAGATATCTTCAAGTTTCTAGCCCTTTCCGTACGAATCAATTATCATTGAGTTGTGGTCATGGTAGCATGTTGCTTAGAGACCATTTTCTATGTTCTTTTTGTCAGTTGAACTGATTCGGTTAGCTTAATGCAAAGAACATGAGACAAAAAATGTAAAAGTTAAATCTCACCGCTAGCATATTTTGTCCCTTTTGGGTTTTCTCTTTTGAGATTCTCTAGGAGAGTTTCCACACTATTATAAAGAATAGTTCGTTCTTCTCCCTAATCAATGTAGGATATCACAATCCACTCCCCTTCGAGACCCAGTATTCTCGCTGGCACACCACTCGATGTCCACCCTCGTAAGACCCCACATCAATTAGAGAAAGGAACAAGTGTCAGCGAGAATGTTGGACCCTAAAGGGGGTGAATTCTGAGATCTCACATTGATCGAGGAGAATGAAGCATTGATTATAAGCATGTGGAAACCTCCCCCAGCACACGCATTTTAAAATCCTTGAGGAGAAACCCGAAAGGAAAATTCCAAAGAGGACAATATCTGCTAGCGGTGGACTTGAGCCATCACGAGAACCCAACGTAATATTAACTAATGTCATTGCAATAATAATGGAGAATACAACATATCCAAAGCTTCTCTAGTAACAAGTAACAAAAATAGTAACCTGCCCATAAAAAACAAAACAAGGCCTAAAGGTATTCCCTGTCTGTCTCTTCTCTATCACTTTTCCTCCAACTTCCACACTGCAAAGAAAATGATTATTTACAGTGAAAAAACTGTGACAGTGAAGGGTTGGAGATGACAGCAGCAGGAGAAGGTAAAGCCTATTTTTTTGGTAACATTCTGAGAGGGCAATCAATATGAAAAGTAAATGATGAAAGGCTATGAACTGGGAGGCCCCTGTGTAAGTCTTTGCATCTCATTTTGATCATTGAGAGTCTCCATGAGAAGTGGAGGGGCATATTGAGCTGTGCCCTGATGTTCTTCAGAATCTTGACAGTAGGATAGAATTATTGTATCAATGGACATCTCCACCACTCCAAAGAAAAGTGTAGCAACCACATAGCCTAGCCCCCAGCAAACCTGTTGTTTCACAACCAAAAAGGCCTTAAATCAGTATTGACACGACTAAATTTACCGTGGCTCGTTTGCTTAAGCTTTTGGGTTCAGCAACGATTTAACAGGTTATCAAAGGAGAGAGCGTTGTGTTCAAAACCTTGGGATGTTGGTTTCTTCCACTAATTTCTAAGCCCACAAGTGAGAGTGTAGAAGTGTGATATGATTAAGTTTATCGTAACCCGTTAGCTTAAGCTTTTGGGTTTATAGGCCATGGACGTGTCATATTATCGTTTTTAAAATATGACGATTGAAAGTGAAAAATGATTACAAAATTGAGGACTGAAATGTTATATTTTGTAACAGTCCAAGCTCACCACTAGCAGATATTGTCTACTTTGGCTTGTAAACGTGTCTGATAGGGAGGAGAGGTTTCCACACCCTTATAAGAAAATCTTACAATTCACCCCTCTTCTTGGGGGCCAGGTTTTTGACTTTGATACCATTTGTAACAGCCCAAACTCACTGATAGCAGATATTGTCCGCTTTGGCCCGTTACGTATCGACGTCAGCCTCGCGGTTTAAAAACGTCTACTAGGGAGATGTTTCCACACCCTTGTAAAAAATGTTTCATTCCCTCTCCAACCGATGGATCCCATTGTGAGATCCCACATCGGTTAGAGAGGGGAACTAAGCATTCCTTATAAGAATGTGGAAACTTCTCCCTAGCAAACGCACTTTAAAACTGTGAGGCTAACGGTGATACGTAACATGCCAAGTAACATGCCAAGAAGGACAATGTCTGCTAACGACAGTGGGTTTGGACTGCTATATATTTAGTCTAACACTGATATGAAAGAGAAGTAACATGCTTTGCTCTGTTCTATACCTATTTTTCTCCCTTTTATCACCCAAAAAACTATATGTAAAAAAAGTTAAAGAACTTACCAAGACCGGAAACAATGGGGAAGAAATCTTGTTATGAGCAGATCTGTATTTGTGTGTATCCGACATGAGGAATGCAAAAAGAGCACTTGAGAGGCTGATACAAAGCTTCCCAAGGAACAGAATAACGTCTCCGATCACGTTCACTCTCCCGATCCGAAGGATGTTGTTCATTATTAACTCCGTCGCAATAGCTGACGCCTTACAAAAGCTTTTGCCCGTTATCGCAATCTGCACGAATCAAAATAGCAACGTTTGTTGGAGAGATTACTGAGTTCTTGTTCTTGTTCTGCAAACTAATAAACTAATATATTGTAGTCAATGAGTAAATGAGTATCAATTTACCATTATATATGCATTGCGGTTAACGGATTTGATGATCCACTCTATACATCTCAGGCAAAACCGAGACGTATTATGTGCTGCTCGGCCAATCCAACTATCTGGTGTCGTACTTGCGACTTTCAATTTGCGACGAATAGACTCGAGTATGAACCGAATTGATTCCATAAAGGATACAGTCAAGGAACCGATAGCCATGGACCCGAGGTTATATCTTGCAAGCCGTTTCATCGAGGAGAACACTGGAAGAAACGGAATTTCGGGCTGCATTAACCAAAGACAATGAGTATTAAAGAAGGAAAGAATCCACTGTAAGAACTTATAGCCCCGAAAGAAGTTCAGAATGTTGGATATGTTGACCCCATCGTTAGTAACTTACCGAAGTTTCACCACGAGCCCAGTAGTAGGAGGCCACGGAGCCTGCAATAACTGTTGAAGAGCATGCTACAAAAAATTGAGTAGCCCAATAACCTCCGAATAGGTGGAAAAAGATGGCTATGTCGATATGAGGAGTATAACGGATGCTATAACCACAGCAACGGTCGCAGTTCACTCGTTTTGAAGCAAGATCGTAAGCGCAGCAATTTGAGTTGCAATTATTCTGGACAATCTGACCAGAGCTGAAGAGATGAAGGGAAGCTGATAACCATAACATGTAAAAGATTGCAAGGATGGCATAAGGTATGATTGGAAAGATTATGAGTGCTTGAACTTCTCCGATCACCTTTGCAGCTACCTGCACGTAGGGTCGTATGAAACCAAAGTGAAATAATGATATTATCGATATTAATCAGTTTAGAAACTAAGAGTGCCTCAATGAAATGAGCTAAAATGAGCGACACTATAACAGCCCAAGCTCACCGCTAGCAGATATTGTTTGCTTTAGCGCATTACGTATCGCTGTGAGCCTCACGATTTTAAAATGCGTATGTTAGGGAGAGGTTTTCACGTCCTTATAAGGATGTTTCGTTCCCTTCTCTTAACTGATGTGGGATCTCACAATTCACCCCTTTGGGACCAGCGTTCTCGCTGGGGCACCGCCTAGTGTCTGGCTCTAATACCATTTGTAACAACTCAAGCCCACTGCTAGCAGATATTGTCTGCTTTGGCTCGTGACGTATCGCCGTCACCCTCACGATTTTTAAAACACGAATGTTAGGGAGAGGTTTCCACATCCTTATCAGGAATGTTTCGTTCCCTTCTCCAACTGATGGGATCTCACAATCCACCTCCTTGGGGGGCCAGCGTCCTCGCTGGCACATCGCCTAGCGTCTGGCTTTGATACCATTTGTAACAGCTCAAGCTCACCGCTAGCAGATATTGTCCACTTTGGCCCATTACATATCGTCGTCAGCCTCACGGTTTTAAAACGCATCTGTTAGGGAGACATTTCCACATCCTTATAAGGAATGTTTCGTCCCCCTCTCCAACCGATGTGGGATCTCACAATCCACCCCCCTTGGGGGCCAGCGTCCTCGTTGACACACCGCCCGGTATCTGGCTCTAATACCATTTGTAACAGCCCAAGCCCATCACTAGCAGATATTGTCTGCTTCGGCCCGTTACGTATCGCCATCAGCCTCATGGTTTTAAAACGCGTCTGTTAAGGAGACATTTTCACATCCTTATAAGGAATGTTTCGTTCCCTTCTCCAACTGATGTGGGATCTCACAATCCACCTCCTTTGGGGGCGAGCGTCCTTGCTAGCACACCACCCGGTATCCACCTCCCTTGGGGGGCCGGCGTCCTTGCTGGCACCCGCCCGGTGTCTGACTCTGATGCCATTTATAATAACTCAAGCCCACTGCTAGCATATATTGTCCACTTTGGCCCGTTACATAGCACCATCAGCCTCATGGTTTTAAAACGCGTCTATTAGGGAGAGATTTTCCCATCCTTATAAGGAA